AAATACATTTTTTACTGACTCAAAATGGTTATTTTTTGACGGATTAAATAAAAAATTATTATTATATAATAAAAAAACTATACCCTGAACCATTCAAAAAGATTTCTTTTCTTTAAAGCTTCAAATTTCTGAGAATAAGGTGACATGCACTATTTGAATCTTCTCCCAAAGAATTGAATAATCACTATTAGGATGGGAAACGACAACTCCATGAAGTTGACTCAAAAAAATCGCGACGAGGTTTTGCAACACATTAACACGGTCACAGAGATCTTGCCAAATATATACCTTTCTTCAAGACACGCTGCAGAAGACCCAAACACTTATAAGCTCAATGGCATCACTGCAGTCCTATCACTCACTACCAACTTAACTAAATACCCACAAAACATTAAAACTAAACACTTCCACGTCCAAGACTCTTTCTTCTTCTTGTTGGATCAGGTGTTAACAGAGTCACTCTGCTGGTTAATCGAAATGGTGAATTCGGGACATAAAGTACTTGTCCACTGCGAAGTCGGCGTGTCGAGAAGTGCATCGGTTGTATTGGCTTACTTGATGATGGTCAACCATTGGACTTTGAAACAAAGCTTCTTGTTCTGTAAAGCAAAAAGAAGTGTAGTCTGCCCCAACCCCGGATTTATTATCCAGTTGTACCAATTCCAAATCAAAATGGGCATTAAGGACACCACTGAAAATTCTCTCTTTGTCAAAGGGCTATTGACTCAGTCTAACACTTTGTATAGAGAAGTACCAGTTAGAGCACTTTGGAACTCATTCTTGGAAAATGGGTTTTCATATGAAAAAGCTATTAAAGATCATTGCAGAGTAGCTGCTTCGGCTAGTCGAAGTGCTTAAACGCCGTGTGTATTATGTAAAATATCTTTCTTGTAATTCAGTCATCTTCATTCTTATTGTTTAATTTTATTATATTTTATATTATATCTTATATTATAAAATTAATAGAAAACAAATAGTAAACATTTAATTGATTCACCACCCTTCTAATGAAGTGTTCGTTTTTTGCGAGTCTTCACTTCTTTCAGTACAGTGTTCGTGAGAGGAAGAGTCTGAATGTGAAGGTTTTAAAATGTTTTTGGACACATCTTGACTCTCTTCGACAGACCCATTTACATTGTCGTGTTGATGAACACTTTCATTTGATACATTCTGAACAACTTCTTCTTTCTTTTTTTGAACCACATCTACACGTGTCTCAGAGTTTTTACTCCTTTCACTTGAACGTTTGTCTTTATCGATAACAATTTGAGTGTCGAGTTTGGTTGACTCACTTTCAGGTAACGTAATTGAGCTGTTTGAAATAGGGTTTGTATGTACACTTGTATTTCCTTTATTATTAATTTTGTCGTAATACGTTTCAAGCATTTCAACAACAGTGTTTGCACTCACTCTTGTGTCCGGTTGATGTGCCCAAGCCTTTGTTATAACGCTCCAAATTTCATTAGACAAGTAACTTGGCTTGTCAAGTCTTTTTCCATCAGACACGAAATTAGCGATGTCCCAGGGGTATTTAAAATCATCTCCATCAAATGGTTCTGTCCACTTCAACACCGAGAACATAGTCACTGCAAGGGAATAGATGTCTGCGGGCGTTTGGTACTTTTCCCTTCTCAAAATTTCAGGAGCCATAAAGGCTGGAGTTCCGACGCCATTGGTGAAGGTCATATTCACAAATGAACTTGTATTTCTCGACGATCCAAAATCAGTCAATTTGGCATTGACATTCACATTGCGTTCGATTGTGATGACTAAGATGTTATCGGGTTTGATGTCTCGATGCATAATCCCATTCTTGTGTAAATATTCAACTCCTCGTGCTGCATCAAACAAGAATTTGACACGAATTAAGTACGGCACATGTATTGCTTTCTTCGAATCACTTTCACTCGGTGACTCCAAGGGTGTTTCAGTAAGATTTGGAGTATCACTCTCTACATAGAGAGCAGTGTCTGCCAAATCACATTTACTTCTTTTCATTAAATCGTTGAGACTTCCATATTCAGCAAATTCGGTGACCATACAGATCTTTGTGGGGAGAAAACACGCGCCGAAAAAATGGACAATGAAGTCACTCCGAAATTTGTCCAACATGGCGACTTCGCGCTCAAACTCTTTCATTTGTTCCGACTCACTCTTAATTTGTGTGATCTTTAACTTCTTGATTGCAACTCTATTGCCTTTGTAAAAGCCAAGAAATACAACACCAAAAGAGCCTTCACCTAACTTCTTTTCAGTCTTTAATTCGTCGGGGTCGAGGCGGGTAGAAATCTCAGTCTCCACCACCATTTTGAGTTCTTCAGTGGATGAAGTATTACTCAGAAGACCAATTATTTCAACTGATATCTTCTCAGTGATTTTACTTGTGCATTTTGGGAGAATTGTTCCTTCGAATTCACAAGCTTCACCGGGGCAAAGAATGACATTTGTTGGTGATATTTTAAATTCATACTTCTCGTTGTTTTCTATCACACTTATGTTTATCTTTATTAATTTACGAGAACAATTTCCTATACAAAACTTCTCCTTTGTTTCGACATTGACTTTGACCCACTCCATTTCACTTCCAAAGGTCAATGTGCGCGTTGAAAATGTGATGTCAGACCCCGGGTGTTCTAAAAACTTCACATTGGAGTGACTCATCTTAAATTTGGTCTTCACTTCTCGATCAAAGTACTCCATTTTTGTCCAATACACTCTCTTCACTATTTTCTTGGTAATGGCAGTGCCAAAGATCACAACGATTTTCGACACTTCAAATACAAATAGAAAGATGATCAAAAAAATTTCCCATTTTGGCTGTTTTTCACAGCCCGTTGCGCTTGCATTGATTACATACCACCAGTCACACATAATACATTGTGAATTATATACAGCAACACAATGGGCAACATCTCTGTAATACGTGCACATGTTGTTTGATAAAATGGAAAGGCTCTCACATTTTGTACATATCCCATTTTTGTCACACGAAGTACAATTTTTATTTGCGAGCGTCGAATTGCACAACGCACAATTGTTGTTGTTACTCTGATCAATGAAGTACCCATCGACACAATCGGTACACCCATAAACACCAACAGAATTCTCTTTACAATTGTGGATGTCTTTATTAGTAGAACACAAGTGGGAAGAATTGATAAAGTAGTTTGATGCACATTTTGTACATACAGTGGACTGATAACACGTTTCACAATTTTCTGGGCATTTTGCGCACTTTAAGTCTTGTGTCACATAATATCCAACTACACACTTTTTGCAATACTGTTGGTAATACTCAGTACAATTTGCCAAATCGTATTTAATAGAATAACACGTATCGCCACTTTTAATAAATCCTTTGAGACATTCAACACATTTATCATTGGAATTTACACACGTTTTGCACGGACTTATACACGCAACACAGTTGCCATTTGTTAAGAAGAATTCATCCTCACATTCAACACAGCGACCCTCAAAGTACTTCAAACAATGTTTAACTGTTTGTGTTAAAGAACATACATCCTTCAATTTGCCCACCTTGTTATATTCACTTGTGAGGTAATACTGGTCATCACATGATATACAATTGTTGCTGTTGTCACACGAAGAACATCCAGAACCACATTGCCCGCATTCATATCCATTTACACTATAATTAGAATTCGAACAAGAAATACAACGGGAGTTCATCACTTCACATGTATAATTGAACGAAGCAACTGGGACACATGTATTTTCATTCGTTAGAATGTAATTTGTAATACACGACAAACAACTTGTCGTGTTACACGTTTCACAATTTCTCGTGAGGGAACAACTCACACAATTTTCGGAAGTATCATAATACCCTACATCACAAGAGAGAATCGTATCTTCACTCACAAAACCAGAAATCTTCACACACTTCCCATTTCTTTTTGTGTAATTAAGAGACACATCACAGATGTCACAAGTTGTACCAGAAGTGCATTGTATACACCCAATATGCGTTGTGTTACACAACTCACACTTCCCATCATTCAAGTAAGTCTCTTTGGGGCAAATAGAACAGACCCCACCACGCGAATTAACACAATTTGTTTGTTCAATACATGAAGTTGTTGTTGCGTCTAAGACACCTAACAAATAATCTTCTTGACATGATAAACAGTGTGTAGGGCTATCACATATGTTGCAATTAGCGGGACATTTAATGCATTCATCTCCATTAAAGAAATATCCATATTCACAATTTTCACACAATTTTTGGTCTTTTGGCGAAATACTTTGGCAATGTGGAATAGTGCTTGCGTCCGCATTGACACAGATTCCATTTTCTCTCTTATGTCTACATATCACACAGTCAAACTTTAGATGAATCAAAAACTCGTAGTATGTGTGCATTAATTTACACGTCCCGTTTTCTGAAGAAACAATTGTTTTACTCTCCGTGTAATCCATCCAATTTCCTTCTTCTGAAAATATGAGGTTTGCTCCTTCAACAATAAGTTTGGGTTGTTCCTCTTGTTTAATTAAATTTAGTTTCTTGTTTCTTCCACTTTTTAAATTGGCGGTAGTAACAGGAATTACCATTTCCAAAGTTATTGCGTTGTTATTACCAGAAAGTGTCACCAAAGACGAGACGTAGAGTACAAATATTTTGTCGTTTGTTGTCAACTTGTTTGCAGTCAATATAAAAATTTCGTTGGGATAATTATTTGCTTCAATTGTATAATCCATAGAGTCTATTACAAGTACACACGTCACAGTTGTATCACCAAAACACGGACATGAATATGCAACCCTTTCTTTTGTGGAGTAAAAACATATTTTATTGTCAAGTTCAAGTACTTGACATCCAACGAAATCGCTTGTTTGTCCAATAACAACTATTTGTCTATCGCACGAGTATTGGTCCGTTGCTATCCCATTAATTATTCGATCATCAGCAAAGAAGAAAACGACATTGCTGCACTGCACACATGTCGGAATGCGACTTATAAGAATTTCATTAGTTGTATTATCAAATAAGAGAAACCGTTCAGTGTGACTATTGTAAGTAATTGCACCAATATAAAGCGTTTTTACTTCCTCTCCAATAGTCATTGGAGTAGACGTTGTAATTTGAGCAACATCAAACGAAATTGCATGTACTATTATTTCGTCTGAAATTATTGAAAGTCCAGTCCCATTAACAGAATCTAATACACATGTTTTTGTTTGCAAAGTGCTACTCCCTAATACATCAATTTGTTTCACTTCGACGTGATCTTCAATATTTAAGTTCGAATTCTTTCCCATCACTATTGAAATGGATGTCTCAAGTTCATCTGCTATGGTGTATACAGAGTTTTCTGTTATTATGAAATAGTCCGACTCAATGTTCCCGAGTATGGTACCACTGCCATTCATTATCACAGACTTGCTCGTTATTAGACCACTCTCTAACACACTAATATCACCGACAAATTCGATAGAGTCACATATAACAGTTCCATACACTTTGACACCTCCTTCAAATATACAACTTTGAGCAGTCATTGTCCCTAAAAGATAGCTGTCTTTCTCAGCTACAAGTTTTGAAAAATAAACACCTTCTTTGGCATTGTATACCTCCTTCTGACTGATAATAAGGTGGAGGGTATTGTCTGGCATAAGAGAACTTCTTTCGCAATCATCCGCCCAATAAACATTTCCCTCAAAACGACAAACGCATCCAACATCAGTGTTAAGTCCATACCGACTTCTTTCACCATTCAAACAAAGTAATTTAACACCGTCATATTGACTTGAACGACTTAAAAAGACTATTTTACCATTTTGATTTGAAAAGTTTGCACTTTTATATGCCATGCCACTCAATATGTGAATGTACTTTGTCTGTGGAAATACAATATTCTCAAATTGAACACTTCCTTTTAACGTTACTCTTAAAGGTGGGAGTGTTGTTGTTGATTGAATTATAACACTATTGTCGAATATCAAAACAATGTCTTCGTCTTGTCTTTGTTGAAAGACGAGACCACCCCAAGTCGACGGAGAAGTGTTGTCAAATGTGATTTGTGTTTGGTTAGACAAAATTGTTAACTTGAAGATGGTTGAATTTTTAGTGCAATCGGGGTAGTTCATTGTGAAGTCTTTAAAATTGACAACTGAGTACGGAGCGTTGATAAAACACATACAAGACTGTACTGGTGTTGTATTAGTGTCACATTGTGTATATCTTCTATACCTCCCTATTTCACAGATTGGAAACAATCCGGTACTTGTTACACTCAATTCCAACCCAACACCAGAGAAGGCATATACACATCCAGTGACTGTGTCCATCATATTAATGTCTTGTGTTAGTGTGGTAGCTTCTATATAGAAATATGGTCTTTGAGTATTAATAAAATCGATATGTAGAATTTCAAAAGACTGGATTTTTAAATACACTGGAAATGACCCGATTTGGACAGTAGTCTCATAACCACTGTCTATGCTATTTCTTGTGTTTTCAATAGAAATAATGGCATTGTTTTTCGACTCTTGTAATTTGTACGTCCATTTCACTTGGGGAGAAGACTCTAAGATATGAAGAATTTTGAGAGTCGATGTCGACTGAATTTCTACTACTTTGGAACACTCCGAAGAATATGGGTCGATGTAATAATAGTCTCGGCCACTAAAACAACAGGACCCACTGAATGTGTATGTGTAAGTATACTTCCCTAACCACAAAAACGTGTTTTCTTGCTTCACATCAAAGCCAGTTTTGCAATCGGTCACAATGCATTTACCATTTGTGTAGTACCTAATGTGGTTATCCGAGTCACTCATCCAGTTTTCAAAAATGGATGTCGAAACTCGAAGAAAGAAAATTAAGACAAAGAGACGCACCATTCAAAAATAAGGGTGATCAAGTTTTCTAAAGTTTCATTTTCGCTTTTTGACTGTTTGGATTTTTTAAAAGTTGTTTACTATATTTTTGTTAATAAAAAAACCATTTTAAATCGTTTTAATAGTTAAAGCAAAATTATAAAAACAAAAAAACAGGGATTTGTCATTTAATTTTATGTTATTGAAGTGTTCAAAATTTTTCCTTTTGTTTTGAGTGAAATTTAAGCAGCACTTTTCTTTTTGAATGAAATTTTTCTTTGAGTTGTATAAAAATGTTTTTAATTTGTCTAATAGTCTATTATATAGCTGGCAGAATAAGAAAAGTTGTAACCGACGTGGTTGTTTTGTACAAAATATAGCGAAAATCATTATCGTTTTATAAAGCGGCAAATCAGACTTTAAAGCAATAACTGGAGAAATGCATTTAACTGGCAGTGATAAAAAAGGAGATAAAAGGTGTTAAAAAGCGTGAAAGTATTCGAAACCCGATTTTTATAAAAGCGATCGTCATTCAAAAGTGGGTTGGGGACAATTTAATTCTGTTTAAATTGGAAAAATGGAAGATAAAGTTTTATTACAAATAAATTAAACTATTGTTAGTAAAACACTGTTTTTTCCACTTTAATTACTTGTGAGACTTATCCATTCAAAAGATAAGCATATTAAAGTTAATGCTTTATTGCAATTGTCCCTGTTTACGTCCAAAAACAAAACTGTCAATGTAAAATTAAGAATTGAGTAAAGATCTTAGTTTAATAAAGTGTATATAAGAGTAAAACATCGTGTATAACTAACTCCAAAATCACTTAAGACAAAGCTGAATACTCTGATTTCTTTTTCTTCTTCATGAAATACATCACAACTGCAACAATGATTGCAATAACAACAGCCAAAAATAGAACACCACCAACAACTCCTATAGTGATCCAAATCCACGTGTCGTCGTCTTCTTTTAATGTATGACAGACGTCTTCAATACATTTTTGGTTCTTATAATCAAACTTATATCCATCATCACAGTATGATGCTGCGCATGTAGGAGTCCATTTATTGTCATCCCCACAGAGGTATCCGCCGTGTGCGTGTTCAATAGTAATTTTACTATCACATTCACTAGTTTCTTTCACAAGTCTTTTGTTACGTGAGTTGCATTCAGTTTTATACTTCTCGACGATTTCAAGTGCTTTGTCCATGAAAAGATCGATCTTGTCTTCTGAATACCCATAGATATCAACTCTTTCATCAATTTCATTTGGTATAAATTCACGAGGAACCGTTTCAGTTAAGTCGTAATTGAACTTGTACGTCTCAAAATAAGTCACTGTAGTCGATACTCCCATGTCATATAGTGCTTTTTGTTCTTCGTCAGCAATGTCTTTCCCTTGTATAACACTCGACGGCGATTGTCCAACATCAAAATGTTCAATATCTCCTTCGGGGTCTCCAACATATCCAACTATAATCGCCTCTCCTCTTTCATTCAATCCTTTCGTGAAGAATGAACACGTGGAGTAACAGAAAGAGTCTGTGAATATCACAATTTCATGGGGTTTTCGTGGGTTATTGACGAGTTTCATCTCAACCATCTCTTCCACAAACATATACGAAGGTTGTGTTCTGTTATGTAATGCTCCATTTCCATAATCTACTGTTTGGTATTCATTGAACCATTCCCCTAAATCCTTATCAGAATTATCTGTGTCTGTAGAGTTGTAGCGAATAGTGCAATCTGCCGGATTGACTAGACCAGCTCCAGTGCTTGTTCTTGTTTCAATAGCAGACAATTCACTTGAACGGACTGTAGTAATAACATTTTCATCAGTGTGAGGGGCTAAGAATTTCTCGATGTTGAGTCCTAAGAGTGAGTTTTCAATCGCATAATGAGAATTATAAACGTCTTATATATCATTGGTATTATAGAGATACAAACCCAGATCAATATACCCTCCCCCATTAAGAGGAAGTATCACGGAAATTGGATATTTGTTCTGGTCAAACAACAAAGAGCAGTTTGAGAGTGTATTGTAGATTGATATATACTCTTCAATTGTATTAAATGAAAAGCTTTTCAATACCAAAAGGTTGATCTTTTTGTCATTAAAAACTTTGCACTGATAGTCCTTAGTAGTGTCTGAAAAATCAAATGAGAACTCTTCATCAATTGTATAATCTTTTTTAAGTGGCTTCTCTGATAAGTCGAGTGGAAAGATATCTTCATACTTCAATGGAGAAAAGTTGGAGCCAACAGCAAGATTTCTAAGTTTAATTTGGCTCTTTTGTGAGAGAGAAGTCAGTGGAACAAATTTGAAGTAATAAGGCACAGTCACAACATCACCACTTTCGTACGTGATTGTAAAAGTTTGACTGAACTCAGCTTTGGTGAGAGGGTTTCTGTTGAGTGAAGCGAAGGGCATTAATGTGAGTGCGTAAGTAAATCGTGCACTTGGCGCTTTCATGGCGACGTTTTTGGCACCAAAGGCTCTTATCACGTCGAATGGAGGAAGTCCATTGATAGACACCACAGACTCGTTTTTGTGCTTTTCAATGTCTCCTACCAAATTTGCTTGTGGGAGCAATCGAAGTGTCTTATTCTCGTCGATGTCAAAAGTGAATGGAAGGAGGTAATAGATGTTATCAATAAAGTAATTGTTTTTGTTTGCGTTCACTGAGTTTAATGATACAGAAAGGTGGAGATCATTAGCGTCTCGAATAATTTGTTTTAATTCATAGTAAAATGAATATAAAGGACCATCGGTAACGTCCAAAGCGTCTATCCTAGCTATTATATCATCTTTTGTGTAATAATTGGAATCGAATGCTGGTTGTGGTGGGTTTTTTAAAATATCATTGTAAGCATAGATGTCAGTGTACAAATGTTTGAGGCCAGACAACATCTTGATTTTGTTTGCACTAGTGATTTGTAGAGAGTCAACACACTCCATCATTTCTTCTGGAGTGTACATCTTCAGCGCAATCAACTCGTCGCACTTCGTCGAAATAGCCAAGATAATATATAAAAAGAAAAGCATCACGTTATTTTAATTTAAAGATAGGTATGTTTTTATATCACGAAAAAATTCGAAATTGTTCATTGTTTTTTCATATTATATGGTAATGAATTTATCAATTTTTATTATCAAATATTAGATTTAGTCAAATAAATAAATAAATGTGTATAATACAATAAAATGTGCCACGGTATTTTTGTTTATTTCTTTTCGATAGAACTAAAAATTATCTTAAAATGCCAACCGCATTTTTAATTTGATAAAACTACAATTCAACGATTAGTTTTATTAATAATAAATATATTAATAAAAAAAAGCAATCTATCACAAATATAAATATAAATTTCCGAATTTATCAAAATGCACTATAAAAACGAATGGAAAACTCGGAGTTAATTTATTTTTCAAATATAGAAGCGGTTTATATTCTCATTTTATAAAAAAATTTCAAATTCATTTTTAAACTCCCCAGATTGATATACAAAAATACTTTTTACTATAATAATATAGTTTAAGTGTTATTATTTCATTAACATATTCATAGTATTTTTATATATATATTTATTATAATTATTATGAAATAATATTAGTTTAATTTAACGTTATTTTACTATTATCTATTAAAAATATTTATAATTAATATTATAGTTTATTATATTAAAAACAAGTATATAATTAATAGTTAAATTATAAATAAATAATAATAAATAAATAATATCAATTTTAAAATAATAAAAATATGTATTATATCATGTAATACATTTATTAAAAAAAATGATACATATATTTGAAATAAAAAACCATAAAAAATAACCAAAAAGTTGAATATCTTATAATTTGTTGTTTATTAAATCAAATTAACCCTTCGAAGATGGGAAAAATCAAAATTTGTAAAAATATAAATCTTAGTCAATTGTAATGTAAATGTGACCTTTTTTTCTTTAATTTTTTCAAAAAAAGCTAGACACCCTGGAACGACGGCTCTAGTAAATTTTTATAAATTATAGTAAAAAAAGTGAATTTTTTGTTGAAGTTGGGATGAACAAAGGGTCACTTTTTTGCTTGATCCTTTCGGAAACAAGTCACAGTTCAATGGAAAAGTCAGATCAAAATTTTATTGAGATGTCTACAACCTATTACAATAATAAAATTAATTATAAAATATAACAAAGACCAAATTGCATCATAAAACATACAGGTCTGGAATAGTCAAAATCAATTGCATCATAAAATAACAAAGAAAAGAAATTAAAAAACAGACTTTGAGGTGTATTGAAATTTCAATATGCAATTGATCAAAAACAATAACAAGGGAAAATAAATATATTTTTTGTAAACTTTGAAAAATACAAAAATTTAAAAATTGTGTTTTACTATTTTTTCTATGATACAAAAAGATAAGACGTAAAGACAAATTTGTTTGTTCTGACTTTGAAAAATAAATCTTAAAGAAAATAAACAAAAATAACTAAAATACCTTTTCAAAAGTATCAAAAATCGCAAAATCGAGAAAAATTTATAAAAACAACTTTAACAATAAAAACAGTCGCATTTAAATATAATTTGATCACCACAAGGTTTTGTGATCACTCGTTGAAATTCACGACATGCCACTGTCGAGGAAGCAAGGTATTAATTCATTGTTTGTTATTTTATTTTTTTATCATTTTCAAACAAAAACAAAAGGCAAAACGTGTTTTATGCAATCTATTTAGAATATAAAGATTTGTATTTGGTAAATAATTGTTTATTTTGCAGCCACTGTTTATTCATTTTCAAATTATGCATTTTTGGACAACAAACAAAAAACTAATAGTAAATGTATAGAAATAATCAAAAACAAGTTAAAAAACACAAGTGTAAAGACATCACAACTAAAACCAATGACAACACTTTTAACTATAATTTATTATAAAATAAATTAATATATTATTAATAATTTATCATGTTATTTATAATAGTTTTATAATTATGATTGTTATATAGTATAGTAACAATCAACAGAGACAATTTTGACACATCAACAATCATATCTTTTCTACAACGTGATTTCAACGAAGTAATAAATGATCACATTGATATAACAATGTTGTGTAATTAAAACTATATTGTATTTTTAATGTACAATTATAACAAAAATGGTATAATGACTTTTTTAAATTATTATCATAATAGAAAATACATAGTGTTTGTAATAAAGCGCGTTTTGACTGAAATACATAGTTCAAATTTAAAACAAAACAAATAAGCATTTAATATATATAAACAGAAACACACTGGTTTAGTGAATGATCAATAAAATGATTATATGTAAATCGCAGTTCAAAAGTCTGTACAACCGTATTTATAGAATTAGCTAAAGTCCCGTTTTTTATTTTTGTTTTTTCCTAAAAAACAAAAAATCGAAAGTACAGACTTAATTACGAAAAAAATAACCAATCCCGTTCAATTATTTTCTTACGATATCAGGACTTTATTGGAATATTAGCCAGCCTTTTCCAAAAAAACCCGATCCCGTTATTAGATTGGACAAAAATTGGATATTCTACTAGACAACACACACAGTATAGTTGTGCTAATTACACAACAACAAACATCTCAGTGAACTGAATCCGAATCATTTATGTCAAAATACTAAAAATTAATTTCGTTAAAATTTTATTTCAAACAAAAAACAAACTCGTGGTTTCTCTTTCAATACAAATAATAATAAAATTTTGAGTTCTAAAAACCAAAAAAATAATAAATATTATCAAATGTCCTATAAATTTTCTTTGATTTTCGATGCATAATTTAAATAGTTTTGGATTATCAATTGTTTGTTTTACTACAATTTGAATATGTTCTCTGGACACTTTTTCTGGTCGACCCAATTTTTTTCGGTTTTGCCTCTCCCCCTCTTTTTAATTCAGATATTATGATTTTTGAAATTCCAACTATTTTTGCGACGGCACTGTAAGAATAATTTTCTTCAAGCAACGCTTTTGCTCTTGCCATTTTTTTTCTGATAAATAAAGGGTTGACTCTGAAGGTTTTGACATATAATAATTATCAATTTTTTTAAAAATGCACTTTTGGGATCATTTGTGTGTTTTTATAAAACAAAAATACCAATATTTCATATTTTATATGGAAGTTTTTTATGCTTAAAAATTCTTCAAGTAAAAAAAAGTTTTGAAGACCGTTTTTTTTCTATTTTACTTAGAAAAATAATCAAATTTTATGACAAAAAAATTAGTTTCCTAAAAATAATACTCAAAATAAAAGCAAATTTTGGGGTCACTTCGGTACAGACTTTTGAAAACAGTAAAATATAATTGATGTAGTTGTTATATAGATAACAATTTAAATCATTTGGATGTTAAAATTGATTACATACTTTATTTATAATATTATTTTAAAGTGAGGCGAGAAACCCACACCTGGAGAAAAACCCGCATTTGTTTTCTAATTACTTCTTTTACCACAATTGTTGTATTTTTTTACTTCCAGAACTCGAAAAAATAGAAAAGTCGGGTCATTATTGTTTATTTTTTTCTTTTTTGTATTTTTTATTCAAAAATAGAAAATGATTTAAGTTTGATTTGAAATAAACCACTAAATAAAATAACCACCCACATATTTACATAATTTTTAAGTATTATTAAACAGGTTTTAAATGAGTTTATTGAATATATTTAATTTTATAACACAAACAATTTTAATGGTTTACTGATATAAACTATAAATTTTAACTTTTAATTGTTTGATAAAACCCAATTTCTAATAATAGCTTCAATTTTTACAAGACAAATTCTATAATATAGTAAAAATAGCAAATATATTCGAAGATTTACTTTTTTGAGACAAATCTTTTTTATCAATCCAAAAATGATGGTGTGTATTTTTGTTATTCATGATTTTCTTGATTTATAAGTAACTGACAGATGTTTCCTATCACGTGTATTGCAACCATTAATATAAATATTTGCAACATATGAATATATAAACAAAAAACGGTTTTAGATTTATGTTTTTTGGAGCATATTTTTTTATTTGCATTTTTCATTACAAACAAGGATTGATAATATTAAACAGTTGTTAATTGTTAGGAGAGTATAATGGATATTCGTTTTATTTATTGATAACGCCAAAGATCACAAATTCATCTTTGTATTTTTTGAGTTTTATAAACCAAATGGTAATTTTTTAAAAAACAAAACTGAAAACTAAAAACAATGTATGAACGCTCAAAAGCGGAGAAAACACTGAACTTATTTAATGCACCACTCAAAGATGCTCAACTTATTTCGTTTTGTAGTCAAAACGAAGATACAATCAAAGAGCTCCCAGGTTTATGGGAGCAATTGCACTATATAAAGAAGAAATGTCCCACAGCCACACTTGCTTCTATTTCCAAAGTACTAAATGCAAACCACAACACGTGCAAGGCTTTATACAAAAAACCCTCTGTTGCTCATCCAGGAAGACCCCCACTTTTGAATGAAATTCGAAAGGCTCGGGTAACACAACTTATAGAAGATAAACAAAAACACCAGAAAACCATTGTTTTCAAACGACGTAAAAATGATTGTTGAAGAAGCTGTATTGAATTTACTTAGTCCTAAAAAAACTATATACTGGTTGAGGCACAACACAAATATTAAACCAGTTGTAGTAAATCCACTTGATAAAATGAGAGCTGAAATTGATCACGAAGAGTTAAACAAATACATCGAAGACGGAAAATAATGCTTAACAACGACATACAGTATTGTGGAAACACGGTGCGTTTGGCAGGAGTTGACCCTGCTCTGCTCCTTAACGTCGATGAAAGTGGGTTCATACATTATGTTGATTTTAAGAAAACATACTGTTACTGCAACCCGAACCTTCCACATGACCAATATTACTCAGTCAACAGAAGTGTTAAACGTATAACTCCCGTGGCTGGGATATGGGCCAACAACACCAAAACAAAAACATTTTTTATTGTTACAAGACACACTGTAAACAACGACTTAGAAGAGTATTTACTTTTC